TTCCAGTGAGGTAGTCCTGCAGCATCACACAGCAGAGCTGGGAAACTCAAGAAACAGAGAGAATGTAGTTGTCAGAATCCTGGTTAAATCAGTTCTCAGCACCCCTCACTTCGAAGAAAGTTTAGTTTATTGAGACGTTGATGGATACCATACTGAACACGAGCTTTGTTAGGACCGGAGTGAAAGTGCAGTGACTGCAGATATATTGTGTGCAAGCAAAGGCACTAAAGATCAGGACCCAATCACCCCACGGCATTTGCCCACCAGAAATAACAGTCAACTGCCCCCCTACTATAGGAGCTGCGGTGGCTCAAGTGGTTAAGACTGTTCTTATTAGATTCAGTGTCTTAGGCACAACTTCAGCTTTATTGAGCTCACCTCAAACACACACTTTTCACGACTAAGAGAGTTCACACACGGCTGAGAGGCACGCGTGGCGTTCAATGGGGATTGCAGCTGGTGAGAACTGGATGGTTGGATAACTGAGATAGTTGTGAGGAACGAGGGCAACATAATACGGATCTGACCCAGCTGGACTTTGCTGAGGAAGCATGGTCCACAGCCTTTGCAGTGGAAGCATTGTCCCTCCACAGGACCAAGCTTTACGTATCTTGATTTGGAAAATGGAATGCCTGAACTGTGGGGGTCTCCAAGACTGAGTGGAGGCGGGGGCGGGCCCTCACAGGTACACACACTCTTTTTGTGAGGTAGTCCTGCAGCATCACACAGCAGAGCTGGGAAACTCAAGAAGCAGAGAGAATGTAGTTGTCAGAATCCTGGTTAAATCAGTTCTCAGCACCCCTCACTTCGAAGACAGTTTAGTTTACTGAGACGTTGATGGATACCATACTGAACACGAGCTTTGTTAGGACCAGAGTGAAAGCGCAGCGACTGCAGATATATTGTGTTCAAGCAAAGGCACTAAAGAGCAATTCAGGACCCAATCACCCCACGGCATTTGCCCGCCAGAAATAACAGTCAACTACCCCCCTACTATAGGAGCTGCAGTGGCTCAAGTGGTTAAGACGCTGAACTGGAGACTGTGGAAGGTCAGTAGTTCAGCAGTTCGAGACCCGGGTGCCGCATGATGGAGCGAGCTCCCATCTCTAGTTCCAGCTCCTGCCAACCTAGCAGTTCGAAAGCAAGAAATTGCAAGTAGGTAAATAGGGACCACTTCGGTGGGAAGGTAACCGTGTTCCGTGCGCCTTGGTGTTTAGTCATGCTGGCCACATGACCACGGAAACGTCTTCGGACAGCGCTGGCTCTTCGGCTTTGAAACGGAGATGAGCACCGGCGGGCTCTTTTTGTAGCAGGTACTCATTTGCATATTAAGCGACACCTCCCATATGTAGCAAATCCTCCAAGAGCTTACAGTAGCTCCTGTAAGAAGAGCTCTGTAAGCTCTTGGAGGATTGGCTACATTAGGGGTGTGTGGCCTAATATGCAAAGGAGTTCCTGCTACAAAAAGAGCCCTGCGAGTCGGACCGCAACCCTAGAGTCGGATTCGACTGTCTTTCGAGCAAGGGAACCTTTACCTTTACTTTACCCCCTACTAAGCACGTACCCCTCTACAGAAATAAAGCAAAACAGGTCTCTGCGACACCAAGGAATTTAGGAAAAGGAAAGCATTTGGTTTTCACACCCCTCTCTCCCTCCTCTATGGCAGGCGAACTATAAAACGCATTCTGAGACTGACAGTAGTTTCCTTTTGGCTACAGGACAGAGGAATGGTTTTCCTCAGATGCCCAAGAAGGCTAGAGGTGCAGGGCAAAGAGTCAAGCTTAATTTGTGGTGAACAGCGAGCTCTGCCAAGTGGTATATTCCCATGCAGAAACTCCAGTTTTCTGGCCAAGCCCACTTCCTGTGGCCAAGCCCAACCTTTGACTGTTCTAGGGCCTGGAACAGTTTGCATTTCAGTGGGTCAGAAAGACTCCCCACTTTTAACTGTCTCAGCTCAGTTTGTTTGCAAAGTCTTCCACTACGGATAGCTGGCTCTCTGCGGAGGGCTTGGATGGTCGCCATTGGCGGCAGTTCAAAGGACTTTCCTGAGAATCAGCCTCACTGAAGGGCCATGGGTCTCACCACCAAGCAGAACTCCTCAGGACCGGTCCATTTGTCTGCAGATGTGTGCTTGGGCTGAATTCTGCTGTTTTATTGGTTTTGCTACTTAGAAAATCTATGGGCTGCCTCTCCAGAGACCCGGTGGCTGTTTCATCGTGGCGCTTGCATTAGCATTGTTTTACTTCCAGGGCTCTTTTTGTAGAAAAAGCCCAGCAGGAACTCAGTAGCATAATGAGCCACACCCAACAACAGAAACTCATTAGCATATTAGGCCACACCCCTGACAGCACAGCTCATTAGCACATTAGGCCGCACCCCCATGTTACCAGAAGTGTGCTCATCCAGCCACATCCACCTTTTGCTTCTTATTCTGTTTACCTTGTTTGTTGTCAAAACCCAGGGCCTTTTTTGTTGCAGGAACCCCTTTGCATGTTACGCCACACACCCCTAATGTAGCCAATCCTAATGAGTTCCTGCTGGGTGTGGCCAACTCGGGAGCCAGCCGGAACGCCATTCCTGTGCGTTCCTCCCCCAAAATAGCCCTGCTTAACTATTGGTTGGGTTTTTTAAAAAACACTGTAAATTACCGTACATCTATCACAGGAGAAAGGCCAGTCTAATTAATTTTAAAAGAACGTAAGATTGTACATAGAAATGGTGTGTTTTAAAGCAAGCCCTTAAGCCTCAGAATATCAGTCTAAAAATGAATGGCCGCTGCGTAGTGAGCTTTCAAGAAGCCAGATGTCCAAGTGGGACGCTGTGCTCTTTCCGTGTTATGTGTAGCTCGGTATCCCTCCTGCCAGTAGACAACAGGCTTGAACGAAGGGTAATTTGCTAGGATTAAAGGGTGTTGTATTTTTGTACTCTCTCCCCCCCCCACCTGTTCTACACACACTCTGGTTTTTTCTCCCCTCCAGGTGCTGTCTACAGCATGTACAAGGACCACTTCATGAAACAGCCCCCAGCTGGACCACAGAAATAGACAAGCCGCAGCTGGTTCTGGTTTCCCCCCTTTCCTTGAGTGACTCTGAAGACTGGGGAATCGAAACACCCTCACCCCCACCCCCCGCAGGCTCAGTTTCTTCCTTCAATACAGCTTCAGCATTTTTGGAAAGACAGCTCTTCTGAGATAGATGTACTTCTTTAAAAAGTTGCACTGAGAAGTACAGGGAGATTGAAGCAGTAGGGAAAAAAGCAGGAGTCTAGTATTGCACCTTAAAGACTTAACAAAAACTGTGGCTGAACAAAGTTTGAGTCTAGTATAGCACCTATGAGGCCCACAAAGTTTTATTCAACGTGTAAGCTTCCGTGCGCAAAGATCACATCGCTTTGTTAACTCTTGCATTTGCATGCTAATTTGCTTCCCTCCATCGATCCTACCAGCCACACCTGTTCCAATTCCAGCTCTGCGGATGCATCCGGGCTCTGAGTGGCCTCTCCTAACAGCTGGCCCCCACCCTCTTTTCCCCTTAACCAGCTTTTGAGAATTTATTCCAGGTTTGTATGAAGACGTGTGTTTTGCACACGGAAGCTTACACTTTGAATAAGATTTGGGCCCTGCAGGACCTTGTACAGTTTTGCAGGGCCTGTAAGACGGAGCTCTTCCGCCAGGCTTTCGAATAGGAGTCGCCACCACCACTGTTCTATCAACGCCCTATACTCTCCGCACACTGCCACCACTGGTGCGGGTTCCATCGGAGGGAGGGAGCGGGACATGCTTAGGGGTCAACAATGGCAGGGGGGGAAATGCACTGCTGTTGCTGTATAGCTACATGACTGAGAGCACCATCTTGATTGTAAAATTTGGTATTGAGTAGGGGAGCACCGAACTGTTTTATGAATTTAGTTAATTATTTAACTGTTTCTGTATTTCTGTGTATTTTATACTGTTTTTATTGTTATTATTGGGCGTATGCCCCTGTTAGCTGCCCTGAGTCTCCGGGGAGGGTGGGATATAAGTTTAAATAAATAAATAAAAAATAAATAAATAAAACTTAGTTGGTCTCAAAGTTCCCACTGGTCTCAAACTTTGTTCTGCTGCTTCCGACCAACATGGCCACCCACCTGAATCTAAAATTTGTGAGCTTTCGTGAGTCACTGCTCACTTCTTCAGATAGGTAGCAGTGACTCATGAGAGCTCCTCCCGTTACAAATTTCGTTAGTCTTTAAGATGCCCCTGGACTTTCGCTCTTCTGCTACAGACAGACTAACACGGCTACCCATTATGATCTATCTCCATGGAAGGCACCATGGACAGAATGGAAATCCATTAACCTTGTGATACAAGCACAGATGGACCCACATTCTTCTGTTTCTGAAGAAGTGACTGCAAGTGATTCACGAAAGCTCCTCCCCTGCCACTATGTTTGCAAGTCCTTTTTTTAAAAAAAAATATTATTTCTACCCCGCCCTCCCCTCGAACGGGCTCAGTGCGGCTCACAAAAAGGGCACCATGTACCAATATAAAACAGTAAAACACATAAAAACAACCATTATCAAAATAAAGTGCTCAACGGTGTTATTAAAGCATTCTGTCAGACTAAGATGGTAGCCTGTAGATGAAGTTCCGAGCCCGGTTCGGCGGTACGGTCAGTCGAAGCACTGTGGCTCCATCTTGTAATGGGGCATCCCGATACCCCATGTTCCCATGAGGTAGTTGGTGGTGGCGGCTCCTAATTGAAAGCCTGCCGGTCCTTAAGGTGTTCCTGGACTTTCGCTCTTTTCTTCTGCTAAGGTAAAGGTTCCCTTGCTCGAAAGCCAGTCGAGTCCGACTCTAGGGTTGCGGTGCTCATCTCCGTTTCAAAGCCGAAGAGCCAGCGCTGTCCGAAGACGTTTCCGTGGTCATGTGGCCGGCATGACTAGACACCAAGGCGCACGGAACGCTGTTCCCTTCCCATCGAAGTGGTACCTATTTATCTACTTGCAATGTCTTGCTTTCGAACTGCTAGGTTGGCAGGAGCTGGAACTAGAGACGGGAGCTCACTCCGTCATGCAGCACCCACCCCAAACGTTTGCCTGCATCAGCACCCACCAATTAGTCCCATGCAAAATCTAGTTCAAAACAGAGTACACCAATTGAACTTATCTCTAAAGGCGGCAGATTTATCCTGAAATCCTCATTTGCCTAATTTGGACTCGGGAAACGGGGCCAGATCCATGGAGGGGGGGGGCAGGCTTGCCCTCTTCCCCGCTCCGGAACTGTGCGGCTGTAAATCCACAGCAGTCCTGTGACCCAGTGAATCAACTTTTCTGGGGTGGATAGAGCAGGAAAATTCCACATCCGCCAGCAGCACCTTCCCCTGCGGGATCCCAGCCTATTGTGCTCTGCGTCTGTGTAAAAAAGTTAACCCTCTCTCTGCCAGGACTTGGCTTGTGAAGGAGCAGGGGCCCGCAAGACCCACTATAATTTGCCTGTAAGGACAAGCACTTTTTCTAACATGATTTAAGGAAAATATTAAGGCTTAATTAGTTGTTCTAGATTTTCCGAGCTGTCTGGCCGCGGTCTTGGCATTGTGGTACCTGACGTTTCACCAGCAGCTGTAACTGGCATCCTCAGAGGTATCACACGGAAAGATGGAGTCTCTGTGTCATACCTGTGTTATACCTCTAACGATGCCAGTCCGGAAAATCTACAACTAATGCGCTCCGGCCGTGAAAGCCTCCGGCAACAAATTAAGGTTTAAATCCTGCTATTTTAAATGTGATCTAAAAATGCTTATAACCGATAGAATGGCTTTCACAAATATCATTTATTTGCATAACACGAGGAAGGCGGGAACTAGATTTTTATTTAAGCATGCCGTGCTAGCACGGTGTTATCCCAATTTATCAGAGAAATGCTGGAAATGCAAAACTGAAAAAGGCACATATTTCCACGCATGGTGGACTTGTGCTAAGATCCAAAACGTCTGGAAAGAGATTCACACTATTACAATACAAATAATCAACAGACCAATTCCATCTGCCCCTGAGACGTTTTTATTAAATATAATGCTGGATAATTTGGAAGAAGCAGATGAACACTTGATTTGTCATTTGTTTACGGCAGCAAGGTTGATGCTGGCAAAACATTGGAGACAGGAAGTTACACCATCAAGGAAGGACTTTATAGTTAAAACTCACGGGCACTACAGTCGGGGACACAACACCTCCTGACGATGCCAGGCCCCAAGGAGGCCAGGCTGGCTGCTACCAGGGCCAGAGCTTTTTCGGTGGCAGCTCCTGCCTGGTGGAAAGAGCTCCCAGAGGAGATCCGGGCCCTGTGGGACCTTGTGCAGTTCCGCAGGGCCTGCAAGACGGAGCTCTTCCGCCAGGCTTTCAAGGAGGAGCCGCCACCACTACTGTACCATCGTTATGTTACCATCAGTATTGTCTGGCCCTGGGAAGAGAGAAGGCCAGTGTCGCGTGGAACGGAGAGCATTGAGTAGATGTACCATCCTGTGACGTCATCTTTGTGGAAGATCAGACCGGAACAGCTAGAGCACTTATTTTGAAGTAAATGTAGTAATGATTTTATATGGTTTTAATTTGTTTTATCTGTTGGCTTGTGCCTATTTGTGAGCCGCTCCGAGCCCGCGCTGCGGGGAGGGCGGGCTATGAATTGAATTTATAAATAAATAAACAAATAAACAAACTCACAGAAATAGCGGAACTGGACAATTGGACACTGAAACTCCAAGGAAGGGAGAGTATTCTTTTCAAGAATATCTGGACAAAATTCTATAAATGGTTAGAAAAAAAAATGTATAGACATAGATACGTCTACTACTGGAAGTAGAATGATTAATGCAAGTTTGTCAAGAGCAAATAGCTAATGGTCTACAAATGGAATCTTTTTGTTCACATGGTGGGGGATACAATAATAATAAATACTGGTTTAAAAAAATAAAAAAGCATGCAAACTAACCTTCCAGCCCAGTCTCCTGGGGCTGTTATTCAGAAATAATGATGTCAGGGACAGATCGTATAGGAGGGACAGGTCTGGCAGGCTCGGCTGGCCTGTGGGGGGAAGAAACACCTCTCTCTGTGTGTGAATGCATCAAATGCCTTCCAGGCGCCTCTGACTTAGCGGTAACCCTACGAAGGAATCCTTGCTCAGAGCCTGGCTCTGGCCTTGCCAAGGGAGGGCCCCCATGGCTCCCTTGAAGAGAGTCCATCCCCCTCACGTTGGGTCTTCCGCTGTTCCTGCTGCCTTCAACATTTCCTAGCATTATTCCATTTCTGGTTTTGAGATTTCAAGCTTACCTTGATTCATACTTCTCTCGTTCCATGTACCTGTCACATGCGTTGGACAGCTGTGGACTTTCCTTTGGCATCCACTCACATGAGCGTCCTTTCGGCTTGAGCCCAGTTGTGTCATTAAGAACGGCACGACTTGTCATTATCCTCAGCTCTCCCCCAGGAGCTTTCATGTGAGCCAGTTTGGTGTCGTGGTTAAGCGCGGACTCCAATCTGGGAGAACCGGGTTCGATTCCCCACTCCTCCACTTGCACCTGGCTGGATGACCTTGGGCAAGCCGTAGTTCTGACAAGAGCTGTTCTTGAAAAAAGAGCAGTTTCTGTCAGAGCTCTCTCAGCCCCACCCGCCTCACCGGGTGTCTGTGGTGGGGAGGGGAAGGAAGAGGAGTTTGTAAGCCGCTCTGAGACTCCCTTGGGTAGTGAAGGGCGGGGTATAAATCCAATCTCTTCTTCTTCTTCTAATCTGGGAGAACCGGGTTTGATTCCCCACTCCTCCACTTGCACCTGGCTGGATGACCTTGGGCAAGCCGTAGTTCTGACAAGAGCTGTTCTTGAAAAAAGAGCAGTTTCTGTCAGAGCTCTCTCAGCCCCACCCGCC